ATGTCAAAATGTTGGTAGCAGGCAACGCATCTGATCCATCAAGATTAGCACATTGCACATCAGATTCCTCATCAATGGATAGAACTGGAACCATAACGGCTGCTTCTACAATTGAGAGAATCCTACCATCATTTGAATGATCCTCAACATTTTCATCAGAGCAATCCCCATGATTTCTAAATGATGCTAATGAACTACTATCAGGCTGAACACCAACAGCCTGGCCCAATAATTCTGAATTACAAGCACCAGCAGCACCATCATGATACCCGACATTATTTTCCTCGACAGTTGAACCCGTAGGAGAAGCATCAATTACATCAGTCACTAAATATTCTGCAACTTTCACCTCTGAAATTACAGGCATCTCCTCTGTAGTGTCATATTCTGTCTCTTGTGTTGCAAGACCTACTCCACGATGAGAATGGCTTGAGGTCCCAGAAAAAGATGACCCACTTCTTTCATGCTTGATCCTTATATCATGCCCACCATCTACATCCAACTTCCTGCTACTTAACTGTCGCTGCATGCCGGAGTCCATTTTTTTGGCTGGGCTGAAATCAACTGATGATGAGGCAGAATAACTTCCATGCCCAGTAGAACTTCTGAAGCTGTTTACACTCCCTCTTGCAAGAGATATATCATCATAAGATATGGTCGTGGCAGTAAAAGTCCTGCCTTGAACTACCGGTCCTTTGCTGCTGCTTGACCTCTTCAGCAATACAGATATGCCAGCTCCTCCCAAGAGGTCCATTTTTGAATTTCGGCGATCATTGTGGTGATACAACTGCTGGTCCCCAACATTACTATAAGGATTTCTGCCATCAGCTCCTGATTGGTCCATGTCTAACTGGTTGGCGGGCATCTCGCCACTTCCCTCTGCTGCTGAGCTTGGAGGAGGAATTTGTTGTGACTGATCCTGGATTACCTCACTGTATGACGTTTGGCTTCGTTCAGCACCTCTCTCACCATCCACATTGGTATCTTGAGGCAATTCACATGAAACCATTAATTGGTCAGTTTCAGCTCCTGGTTTTTCTTCAGTGGACCCATTAGTAGAAAACATTGAAGAGTCTTCGGCGACAGCCAAAACTGTCTCCTGGGGGATGACTCTCAGCATTGTATACTTCCCACTGCATTCTGGACAAAGTCTAACATCCTTCTCTGTTTGATCAGAGGCCTCATATCGACAACCACATTGAGAACAGATTGCTGTATTTTCAAAACCATCAGTTTCCATAATATCAGTTTTGGCATTGGTAGTTTCTGAACTTTCAATGGTGGCAGCAGCAATACCATGGTATAAGGACTCTTCAGCTATAGTGGGACCGCAATCAATCTTAGAGCCTTTACTTTCATTAAGATGTGCATCAACTGATTCATTGGCGATCTCATGCCCAGTATCAGCATTCATCACATCATCCTTATCAAAGGCAAAGACTTCTTCATGTATATCAGGATATGGTATTTTCTCAGCTTCACTAGCCACATCATCCTGGTTGTGATCACTCCCTTCAGTATCAAGTGCAATACTTGTACCTTGATCAGAGCTGGCGTTGCTGCTTGTTGTGATTGAGGAATTCCTGGATACCAGAGAATTATTGCGAGCAGAATTTGCTTTTCCAACATAAAAGGTAGTACTTGGCACACTTGACAAAAGTGGCCTGAACATGTTCTGAGGACTTTTTCGATCCTGCACAACATTGAATGGCGTCTGCGATGAGTTAGAACTTTGATTACTATAAAAAATTAACATACATTTAATAAAATAAATCATGATAAAGGGAGACCGGGAGATATTGCAAATGTCTAGATCTGAATCCAATAGATTAACACCAAATATTTTCTAATTAATCTCTTACCAAACATTTTATAAGCACCTCTGGCACTATAAGTATCAAATATGCCAACCAAGAGAACACGCTAATAACTCATGCTTGATCAGGCATCTCACTTTATTAATTTGAAATAAATTCACTTTAGGCATCTCACTTCAGTGCAACAATAAATCCAACCTTCATCGTTAATTAATTTGAAATCAATTACTAAGAATAGTTGACTTATCATATACAATGTACAAGCAGGCATCCAATATCATCATTGAAATGGAAAATCTTAGATAAATTCGGGATTGTGTCTGAAATTATTTTATAAATAAAACAAACTTTTGCGAAGTTCCTTTATTGGCGTGCAGAGAGAATCACAAATTGAATGAGTACACTTTATCATTAATTGCTTCAGTAGAAATAGACAGCATTTTTGTGGCAAAGGATTCATGAAGAGAAACTGCAGTGTGCGTGTGTGCTCACATGTGTGAATGCATGTATAAGTGGGTAAGAGACCTAGGAACAAGGATGACTGTCCAAACTAATTGATCTTGTAATGGTATGACAAATTAAGAATTGAACACTTTCAAAATCGATTGTCAACAAATTTGGCAGTATTCCATAAAGAGCTGAAAGTATATTATTTTAATTAAATCAAATATTAGAATACCATTTGGCGAAGGGCAGGGTCAAATGATCTTTTTGGAGCAGAATTTGGAGACACCGTTTTGGCAGTCTTCTTGGAAATGGCAGGAGTTCTGTTATTTATAACTGAGCTACTCCTTCTTGAACTTAGCCGGTCTAAACTACCCACTTGGATGGACTGTATAGAGTCAGTATCATCATCACCAGATGATGCAATAGAACCTTTGCTGCGTGAGCTAAATCGGTCTCTGTCATGACTATGAAATGAGCTACTGCTTCTAGAAGCAGTTGGAGACATTGACTGCCTACTGTATCTAGTGGTAGGATCCTTTCCATTCCTGGATGCAGGTGATGAACCCCTCACATATGATGCTGGTCTGTCAGCCAGAGAAGTTCGAAGATTTGGGGGAGCTTCAGAGGAGAAACCAGGGATATTAGTTTGCCATGCCCTTATCTTTGGTGAAGCAGAGTTTCCACGACTTGTCTTGACTGGGGAAGTTCCCCTGATCCCTGATACAGGCCCATTGGAGCCAGTGCTCATTCTCCTAGGAGTAGGAGTAGAGGACCTCGGTGCAGGTGTTGAAGGCTTATTTGGAGGAGTAGATGGTCTTCTTGACGGAGTAGCATGCCGCAAGTTTTGAGTTGGGCTGGAATTGGACACTGATGATGGCCCAGTCCGTGACTGGGATGTGCTATTTCCAGTACGAGGAGATGGACTAAGGCGATTTGGACTTGCACTCCCCCTGCTACTTCTGCGACTTCTTTCCATCTGAACGGGGTAAACATCCGATATGAGATAAGATTTTTCCTGACTGAATACTTAATTAGTGACACATAAGATTGTCTTATTATTGCTATGCAATAACTAGGACTCAATGTTTTATAAAGATTGGGGTATTTTATCAAGATATATTTCAGATTTACCTTGAATAAGGATTAATCAGGATTTAATAGGAATTACCTTATTTTATCACTATCATCTTTTAAGGATTATTTTAGCTTTAGATTTTATTATTTTAAGTAATCATACCTAGAGCTTTACGAATAACTCTAAGGTTTCTTAGTTGTCAGGCCTCTTTTGATGAATTGAATAAAGATGAAAATTGTGCTCACTCTCTCCTTCAAGTTCTTCTTTATCCCTCAATTTCTCTCAATTTCTACCTCCTTTCTCTTCTCTCTCCCCCCCCCCCTCCCTATTTTACATCACCTTCTATGCTTCAAGAGCATTTACTTGAAATGAAAAGAGTATACAATTATGCATAATGTAATAAGATTCAAAAGCTCACCGTAGAAGATCTCGATATGGAAGTGGGTTTACTCTGAGGCCTTCCCCGGCTCGGAACATTGATTGGTGGTGGCTCATCCTCATCTAATGAAGGAAAAAGTGGTGTGTCTGGGGGCGTCAGTAACCTTGAAAAACAATAAACAAAGTATTAGAAAACTAAGCATTGCACACCAGAAATCACTTTATGCACATCAAAGTCTCAAGCCTCGCTTTAATAGTTGAACTATGGACCTACAAAAAATACAGGTGTTGAAGTGGAATAATGACGAACCCAAATGCTTGGCTTTGAATCATGTAAAGGACTGTATCATCGAACATCATTTAACAACCCCCCCCCCCCAAAAAAAAGAATCAAAAAAGGGAGAAAAGCACAACACACCAGTCATAGTCATTCTTGTCACCGTCTGCATTAAGCAGTCCGCTGCTTTCTCCTCGACCAGGAACGGAGATTCCAAGCTTAATATCAGAAAAATGTCTCAACTTCACAGCTGTAAATTAGAGGTTAAGGCAAAAAGGAGAAATGCATGATTATTACTCAAGAAAAATGTACCAAAACCACATATAAGTTTTGTTTTAGGGTGCCCTTAAGAAGATTACAGAATGGGTCTTCAACGGTATCTGATGACTGAAGCAAAAAATTCTCTGATTCTCTGGACTGCATTTCATTGAACAAAGCAAGATCATCATCTTTCTCCCTGTAGAGTAATCCACCTTCAAGACTGCGCCCACGCTTGTGGCTGACTGTTTTTGGCTCTCTTCCAGGAGAGAATCTCAATGCTGGGGAAGGAGGCATTTCCGCTACCCAAGATTGTACTAGAGAAATGTCACCTGGAGCTCTCCATAAAGCCCAAAATCGATGACCTACAGAAGTCTATAGTGCAACCCAGAATTGACATATAGCTCGAGCTGATTAGAAATTCAAGCCCCAACAATCAGTTTTGGCAGCAACCGCACTCAAACTTGTACGCCAGTTGCTGTCCTCTCGACCTTCAGTTTAACTCAATCCAAACACGCATTGACCTGACACTCAGTGTGATCGAGTCAACTGGAGCGCATATATCGCAAGAATGCAAGTAAACATGCAAAACGGCAGGAGCAACTGTACCATTCATAAAACAAAGTCTTAAAAGCCAAATGTAACAAATATCCGAAACCAAATTGATAAATTCATTCTGCAAATGTCTAAGAGTCGGAAACCCTAGAACATTTGCCATTTGCAGATCACAATTTGCACTATTCTCACTGAAAAGAGGGTCTAAGTCAAACAAAAATTCAACTTCACTGCCCATTAAGTAAGCATTGAAGTTCGAAGTACAAAGTGAAACCCACCACTGCAAAGCAGCAGACAGGACATGACTTACCAATTTCCCAATTCAAATTGCTTCAAACACGGAATGGAAGCTCGAAGAGTGCGCTTAGGATCCCAAGTTCGAAGATAAAACAGAGCTCAAATGCCAATTACAATGCGACGAATTCTGTTTCAGACAGTCGGATCTATAGCATTCATGACCTGAAAGTGGCGACCAAAGTACAGATCGAAGCTTTACAGGAATCGGACGGTTGCAACAAACCCAAAATTTTCTCGCATTCTCTCTTCTATAATTCTTTTTGCTAAAAAACAATTCAGAAGTGAAAATTAAGAATATCCAAAACCTCTTGTTGCTGTCGTCTGATATGCTCCTTTCCGCAACAAGAAGCATTCTTTTAAATAATAATAATTTTTTAATTTCTGCTTATCCCGTATTATTCATTTATTTTTATATTAGGTTATCTAAAACATAAAGCTTATAGATTAATTTTAGGGAAAATTGCAAAAAAAGACCTTGGAATTGCAAAAACACAGATAGGACCCTTGACAACTTCACTTTGGGTTTTGACAACTTCAGGGCATATTATTCTTGTCAAAACCCAAAGTGAAGTTGTCAAGGGTCCCTATCTGCGTTTTTACAATTCCAAGGTCTTTTTTTGCAATTTCCCCTTAATTTTAATGTAAGAAATAATAAAGCATATCAATTTTTTTTCTTCTGGCAAACTTTCATTTTTCATTGTGGAATACGTTATTTCATATATTTGGAAAGGTTAGCTTCTTTTTTACCTGTTTGATTAGATACAACATTTTCAGGCGGAAAAAATACATTACTAAAAAATTCTCTTCTTATTGAAAAGTTTTTAATTAGTTTATTATTTGTTAAATTTATATCCAGCATGTCATTTATTTTTTTTGTTTATCACTAACTAACATGTCCCTTCTAATCATATACTTGTCCTTTTTTTTAATGGATCTATAATCATTTATTTGCTGAAACATTCAAAATTCAAAAGTAAAACCATAATACTATATGGTTTCACTTTACAATTATAATTGGTAATTTTTTTGGACATCACTTTATAATTGGTATGGTTCAAAACATGTGTGGGATCATTTAATGCCCAATTGTGTTCCAACTTTTAAAGCAAAGGTTGGTCGTTGTACAAGCAATGGCTTGGAAATTGATAGCCACCAATTATTACTTTTACGTACAAAAATACCATACTAAATTTCTGTCCATACAAATATATGAATATATATATATAATTCAATATAGATCCTCCTTATTATTATGTTTGATTTAATTCTTCAAGATTAGTTGAGTGTCAAGGATAAGTAATTAAAGTCACCATTAAATGCTAATTAAATATCTATTTATTGCCAATATTTTCACAATGCATTAGTATAAAGTATAAATCTTTTCATGAATTTCTCAAATGTTGTACATAAGTGATTTTATTTAAAATTGCAGCACAAACATGATTTTTTTAATGCATTATAGCAGGGGTCCCAAACTTCATCCTGGTGACTTGATCACACCAAAATAATATTCTAAGTTACTAAATTTTTCCCTTATTATAATACATGCATTCAATTTTTATTAAATTTCAAAATTCAAAATAATGAATGATGAATTGTCTCTTTTGTGCTGCTTTTGGTTTTTTAGGCTTTTATTCAAAATTATTTATTTCTAATTATATGAATTGACAAAATAAATGAAATAAAACTCAAAAGTTTTCAGACTATGTAATGCTGATTACTATCAAAATTCATGACGTTACACAAAAAAGGGACACAATTTTGTGAACTGTATAATTTTCATTGGAATAATAAAAATATTTTAGGATAAAAATATCTCTGTTACTGGGAATAATATAACGAAATGCACAAAGTGAGGAAGATTAGCCAGACTGTCTAAAACAAAGTGCATTGAACAATCACATTCAAAGGCATCGTTTTGGTGAGCTTAACATGTTAAACAAGTAATGCGTCCTAATTAGTCATATTTGGAGCCTCAAAAAGTCTTTTTCTAGAAACAACAAAAAAACGAGTTGTAATAGTGAACAAGTTTTATATTATATAATATATATATATATATATATATAGGTGCCAAATATTGTTTTAAAAAAAATATAAATGCCAAACAATAAAGCCGAGAAAATGAGAAAGAAACTTGAGAATAAAGGAAAGAAAAAGAAAGGGGTTATGTGGGACATAGAAAGATAAGGTCAACATAACAACTACGCTATGATTAGCTAATTGCTAGCTGTGTGTGTTTGGGTTGCACTATTAGTTAATCCATAGATTAATTATTATTATTGTTATTATTATTATTATTATGTCACTTTAATTGGAGGGTGAGACAAAAGGATACTTCAAAAGCCCTCACGCTAATCATTTCATTTTGATCATTTATTTATATATCCCCACACAGCTCATTTATTTGGTTCTAACCTCATTTAATTAATGAACTTAGTTGCATCATTATTTTTAATTTATTTTTTCCTTGTAGTTTTTTTTTTATAATTAGTTCTTATGTGATGGCATGGCATTATGTTTATGTTGGATTCTATGGATTTTAAAATTAATTAAAGGTGGTTAAATAGAACTTTTTTAAAGCAATAGAACCAACGGTCATGCCCCTTTTTTTTTTTTTAAATTTCAAGTGGACAAATAAATAAAAGTTATAGTAGGTCTACAATAATTAACAATTGTACCTCCCAAAAAAAAAAAACATCTGAGTATATAATAGAATGATGCGGCTGATAGTTTGGATTCTTCAAATTATTAAATTAATAATTAAGTAAGAAAGATGCTTTGGGGCCGTATTCCCCCAAATGTTTAAGTGTTTTGAGTTTGAATAGGGAAATAGAAATGGGATGGATTTGCATATCTTCCGCTTTTAATTTAATATCTCTTCTGTCTTTTCACTTGGCAAACCAAATAATTGAGGGGGGAAAAAAGAAAAACCTCGTCTCTTAATCTCATCTCTCGCTCTCTGACCGCAAATCTCTCTCACATGATCAATTTAAATTTAATTAGCAATTAGTCTAATTTGATATTTAATTTAATCCTAACTATAAAATATCAATCCATTTTATATATCATATTTATTTATTTATTTTCAAAATAGTCCTTATAATAGTTATTAAATGTTATATCAAATAGTTATTCTAACTAATATATATGATTAGCAATGATATTTTGAGAAAGATAACAATTAATTTTTTATGAATAACTAACTTAACAAATTTTTTTAATTTACTCAAATTAGTTAACTAACTCTTATATTAATGATCATGATAATATATTTCTTTTCATCGTTCTTCAATAAATGGATAAAAGTTAGTTAAGCTCTTAACGATAAAAAAAAAAAAAATTCAAGTCTCAATGATATGATATGAGAGAATAATTTGTCACTTCCTCCAACTTATAAGACCCTTTTAACTATCTCACCAGAATTAAGGAAGGATGATTGTGTATTCATCATTCTTCATTTAAGTTTGTTAAGCTCTTAAGGGCAAAAAAAAAAAAAATCAAGTCTCAATGATATGATATGAGAGAATAATTTGTCACTTTCTCCAATTTATAAGACCCTTTTAACTATCTCACCAGAATTAAAGATGGATGATTGTGTGGTTAACTTTTAGCTCCTTTGGAATTAAGATTATAAATACATTTTACGTAAGTCAAGTTAAATCTTTTATTATATATTTATTTTTGGTTTTATAAATTACGATTGAAAAACTATTTGTAAGGCATTTCAAACTGGCTTTATCTGAAAATGAAATAAACTCCTAACAATATCCATATTTAAGTGAAATTTTTTTTTCAAAATTGTACATATTACTCCCTCCGGTTCTAAATACGAGACCTATTTTGGAGTGTAATTACTTGAGATATTAATTAAGTTTTTCTTCTATTATTACTTATATTTCAAGTCACTAACAATTCTAAATATAAGATCTATTTTGAAGTGTAAAAACACTATAAAATAGGTTTTATATTTAAGACCAGGGGGTATATTTTATTGTTAATGACTTTAAATATAAGAAAAACTTAATTAATATCTCAAGCACCTTATATTTTATTACAATCGATCTCTTTTACAAGGCGTCTTGTAGTAAAGATACGAAGGAGTGCATTCTTAATAATGTAAGCATGAAAAAGAATAGTTTGTAACAAGTGCATAAATAGAATATATATTTTAGAATTACGTATTTATGTATAAAGGAAAATATAAATATAGATATGATATCTATATAGCTCTTAGGGAAAATTAAAGGAAAGCATTTAGGAAAAATGATATTTATTGAAAAAGACCATAAAAATTGTAATTATTTATTTATAAGGACAAAAATCTAAAATATAAATTTACAATTACCAAATGCCCATTGCATGACCTCTGCCTGAGAAATTGAGTTCAAACAAACAAGAAAAGGCCTAATCAAGGGCCTGCCGGAGTCCGCCGTGATGGCAGCCAGAAATCCAGAAGATTACCATCCACGAGGGTGAATCACGGCAGGGCTGTGTTTGAGGGCAATTTAGTATTTTAAGATTTATATCTTAATGTTAGGTCTTTTTAAATCGTGTAAATATAATTTTTAATCCATCAAGTTTGTTCTCGTTTTGATTTTAGTCTCAGAAATTTCAAACCATATGTTTTGGTTCCTCAAATAGTAAAATTGTCCAAGTTTTTATTAGGTTATAAAAAGTAATGTTTTGAATAAAAAAAATTTGAGAGACCAAAACTTATAATTTGAAACTTGAAAAACTAAAACCAAAATGAGATAAAAGTTTGTATTAATCTTTTTAAATAATTGATAAATACTACCTCCGGTCCTAATTATAAGACCCAGTTGAATTATTTGAGAAGATTAAGGAAGTAAGTTAAGTTAGTTATTTGTAATAAATAAGTGTTGTCATTCCTAAAATATTCTTGCTAATTAAGTATATTGGCTAGAACTATCATTATTATAAAGACTATCTTGGAAAAAACTGTATAAACATGAGAGACAAAATGGATTGGAGTCTTAGAATTAGGACCAAACAAAAAGTCAAACGGAGTCTTATATTAAGGACCGGAAGTAGTATAATTTTCTACACATCCTTCGTTATAATTTTCCCTGGTTCTTCTATATGCGTGTGCGCGTTTCTCGTGCTTGCATGCATGGAAGCGAGATTTTTAGTTGGGGCAAAACAACATGAACAGGGTTTAATTTAAACGAGAGGGGGGGGTGTCACTCTATCGTTATATCCATTTTCCTGATATTTATTATTTAACATTTTACTCATATTTGTTTGGGAGCCTCCAT